TGTGATAACCTAGCCTGTATCAGACACTGTCGAACCCCTCGGTGATAACACCCTCCGCTCGCTGCAGACAGTCTCTGGCCTTACCCCTTTTTCTATAATAGGTGCCAGCCCGCCCTGTAATTACTGAGGAGGGTTTCTGCTGGGAAATAGACGCACAGAGAGGAAGATGCTGTTACACACACGATCAAAGAGACGTCAAAAGAAAAATAAACCAGTCACGTGTCCGTACTGTACACACACACACACACACACACACACACACACACACACACACACACACACACACACACACACACACACACCCATTTCTGCCCACATTTGCAATTAGACACACAATCACACTTATGCGCTCACTCACACTCGGCTCCCCTGCCGTTGTCATGGCAGCAGTTGGTACGGCAGCGGGAGATTTCGGTGGTGTAATCCCAAAGGCTGAGCGCTGTGAAATGTGAAGCCGCAGTGAACGCAGCGATTGAGAGCCAGAGGAGGAATGAGTCCAAGAAGAAGGAAGAACTTCAATATGTCGTTCCAGCGTGACCCTAAATCCGCCCGGCGACAAAGTGGTCCCATTTATCCCGAAAATACTTTAGAAAACTGTTGAATATAACTTCACTGCCTGTTATGTTGGGGTATCCTAAGCTAGTTTCCACTTAGAACATGTTATTTTTGCCCCTTTTGATTCAATACAAATACAAACATGGATTTTGTCATTTCATTGTGGATACTTTAAGCAGAGGCAGGGGGAAAGTTGTCTTTTACTCCATTTCTGTTTATCACAGTCTTGTCAATCACTTCAATCCCCATCTCTCCAGATTCCTCCGTCTCTCTTTTTGCGTTGTGAGCACCCTTTGACGTAGGTGTGCATCGAGCAGCCCACACACACTTCTATTTTTACGCAATGAGAGGAGCGGGAGGCAGGGAAGAGGAGGAGGAGGAGGAAGAAGAGGTGGTGGTGGTGGTGGGAGGAATCAGAGATGGAGTATAGGAGGGTGGGGTTTTTCTCGGCTTCTGAGTGTGTGTTTTGATATTGGAAGAGCGTGAATGAAAATGAAGACTCTCACTTCCTCACTCTCTTCTCCAGGTGGACTATATGGATGAAAATGAGGAGTACTTTCAGCGACAAGCCTCGCACAGACAGTCCCGTCGGCGCTTCCGGAAGATCAACCAGAAAGGGGAGCGGCAGACGATCATCGACACCGTGGATCCGTATCCCACCGGAAAGCCGCCCATAGCCCGGGGGTATCACACGGTGAGTTGCGCTCGTGTTTCCCCCCCCCCCACCTCGCTGCAGAGGACCGCAGTGTGTTGCTCTAGTTCCTGTGTCAATCTCCGCTTCTGAGCCCGCTGTGCTTCAGATGGTAGCAGAATGTGTGTGTTCCCTGTTTGAACAACTCTGTGTGTTCTCTGCTAGCCCGAGCTGACCCGTGGTTGTTGTGTTTTGGGTGTCTTGTGTCCCCGGGGGGAAAAAGGCCCCCCCCTTGTCCCCCTCTGGGTGATGTCGAGCCTGTTTTCCTAATCTTTGCTCTGAGCTGTTTCCCCTGTGGTGTTTAATTGTTGTTTTACCCATCCTATGCACAACTGAAGCTGCTACACCAATGCTGGTAGCTTCCGCTGGCTTCAGTGTGTCGATCTACGCTCCTGTGTTGAATGTGTGAAGTTATTCTGTGCTATACTGTAGCTGCTGTATGTGTGTGTCTTTGATCATGTGTGTTTGTGCTTCTGATGGTTGTCAGCTGTTTTTTCAAGATTTCTTTGGGCTTTGGTGTTCAGCGTTTGCACCACATGATGACATTACGTCGAGATTTTTCAGCAAATTCCAGCTGCAAATAGTTATAGTCCCTTGTATTTACAGGTAAACTGTGTCCTGGAGAGTGTTGCCATTTGATGATCATTTAACTAAGAGAAGAGGAAGTACTGTAGTCAAATAGTTGTGATTTGTCATGGAGAGGCTTCCCACCTCGAGATTAGGAAAAAACACAGTACTTGGTGTTTGGGAATAATTTGCCCTGCATGTCCTCCTTCGCCCTCCGACGTAGCTGACCAACCTTGAGCAGCCGCTATCCCCCTTAAGGAGGGGCCGCCCTAGCATATTGTTGATGTTGCCAGTTTGTGACCGGGCAACTCTCTGTCAGAGATAGTTATTGTTGAGGGACACCTGGAACACATCCTTCTCTGGGTTGTAGATGACCCCGAGCCATAAGCGACAACAAATGGGATTCAGTGTCCTCAGCTGTTTAGTCTATCTATTGAAGAATGTTCATTATTACACTCTGAACTAGTTAAAACCTGGAGCTACAGGAGGGCTCTTCAGAACTGATTGTGGCATCTCTACCGTGTGGTCAACTCGTGGCCCGTGGCATGTCTCCGGCCGAAGCTCCAAATAAACCGTCAGTGTTTGCCATCAAAGCTCCCCTCGTGTCTCTCCGAGTCCTGACTCCTATTGCTTCAGAAGTTTCCCCCACACTCGGTGATTTCATTGTTTTGCCTTTTTTCATAAAAACAACGTAGGAAGTAAAAATGGATGAGGAAGAATAGAGATATGAGAGAAAAACAACAATGTGGGAGTCTGATAGTGCCTACTTTTACAAGTCTTACAGCTGTTCTATTCTTATAAGCCCTCATTTACATAACAGTAGAGCTTCATATCATATCTGTGCCAGATGCCTGTAGCAGTTCTTATAATACAACAAACCTTCTAATGAAATGCTGTTTCAGTGGCTGATGACCAAACTCTTTATTTCTGAGGATAGTTGAAAACTGGAATATGGTTTGTTCATGTTTTGACTAACTGTGAAAGGATTTGACTCCAGCAGAGGAGGAGTTACCAGGCTCTCTCCTCTTTCCTTTCTTTCCCTGGGAATAGGAAGCAAAACATTTCATTTAATCGTTTATTTGAACGTGGACAGTGCACATTAATGAACATTTTAAACACAATAATGCTTTCAAAGGTAAATGAGCCGGATTTTTAGCTTTGAGCTAATTTCCATCCATAGTCCCGTCACAAACAACATTTAAATGCTGCATTTTAATGATGCATATACCCAGCATGCAGTAGTTACACACAGTATTTCCTGCATTCTCCTCATTCCTGACGTTCCCGCGGGGGTTTCTGTCACTGTGAAACACTCGCGCTTAAAAAGGGAAAATGCGGCAAGATTCATCCTCCCCTCAGCCCCACCCTGATTCCTAAATTTAGCCTCGCTGTGTTTTCGTTTCAAAGGACTGCACTGAACTTTCGCATGGCCCGACGTCTCCTCTCCTCGCTGTAGTACCGCTCCTGTGGGAAGGATGGAGCGGATGCCATGGCAACCAGCAATCCCAAATGGGCTGTGCTCGAGTGCACTTAGAAGTACAGTAAAGGGAAGGGAGCTAACTTGACAAGAGTGCAGCGCGCCGCTTCCTCTGCTGCTGACGGAGCCACAGAGAAGCTGAATCTGGGCGGATGCTATAAGCTGACAGAGCACGCTAATCGCCTGTATCCAGAATGCCAGGCACCGCTCAGTTTTTTCCTACATTCTACCCCGAGGCGTATTTATGAGGTGAGAAATGCACCGAGGAGAGACTTGGGGATTGAAGGAAGGAGATCTCTCTGGCAGGCAAGGTTTTTATTCAGCTTAGTCACTCCTGTGAAGGGGAATGTGAGGTGAGCTACGAAAACATGCCACTGATCATGAGGTTTCAAAGCTCTTTAAATGTGAGAAAGTCTGTGTAACTTAGGGCTGAGATGATTATTTGTATTAATAATCACTTTGTTTTTGATTGTTTGGTCTACAAACTAGTGAGATATGTCTGTTAAAAAATGCTAAGATATGTAATGTGGGAAGAATATCAAAGTTATAATACTGGCAGATCCTCACATTTAAAAGTCTGGAAGCAGTGATTGATGACTGACTTTTAATCACTTATCAAATTGTTATTTAAAGGGGACCTATCATGGAAAATGCACTTTTTGATGTCTTTTATACATAAATATGTCCCCGGTGTGTCAGGGAACTCACGCAGCGTCAGAAAATAAAACCCTCTCTCTTTTCCTCCGTACCCAAATCTCTAAAAACGGGGCTACAACGGAGCTGATCCAGATTTGCGTCCGATATGACGTAATATCTGAAATGTGGACCCACGGCCCTATCAGAAACGTTGCTATCAGAAACAATGGCCCGACTGTTTTGGACGTAATATGGTCGGTGTTCACATTAGCATCGCTAACACTCAGAGCTAACCTGTACTGGAGAGCATGTGTGTGAAGAAGCAGGAAATAAAAAGGAACTCACCTTGTGGTATAACCGGCAAGAGAGAAAGCCTTTGAGCTCCATACTGTTTCAGAAATACTCCTTGATAATCCATGATATGGCGTTTCATCACGGCAGTATTTAGTTTAGACAGTAGCTGCCGGGTCCCGCATGAGCTCAGCCCCCTCCTTTTTAATTTTTTTAAAGCTTTATACCCCAAATCAGCACTTTTGAAACAGGAAGTGAAATAGAGGGACATGAGGCATGGCTAGAATGGGTGATCTGTTTGGTATTTTGAGCAAAACACTTCATAGACATGTTTTTTATATATATTTGTTTATATCTGAGACTTATGCTATTGCCTAAAAATAGCATGATAGGTCCACTTTAATTTTCCGGTTAATATAATGCGGCAGACTCGTTATTAAGTTCTTTTTTTTTATCTCAAATAGTGTATTTGACTTTGTTACAGACAAGATGATGCTGAAAGAACATGATACTTTTCTGCAGTGATGGATGACGGTCTTTTATTCCAGTCAAACTATTCACACCCGGGCTCAAAACACTCTACTATCAGTACAACTGTATTACAAAATAATACTATCCAGGAAAATATCTCCAATTGAAATGTACTAATGATGCTTCTGTAAGAGTTATATATTTGCATATTTAATTATAACTGAAGCATTTATATGTAGGTAGCATTTTATTGTTAGTAGCTGTTAAAGTGGTTATAATGATACTGTTGGGTAGTGTATTCGGTAACAATGCTGCATATTTGATAAAGAACAAGTACTTGAGGAGATATGCTTTCACCACTTTAACTATGCTGCATTTGAAGACCTTAATTACTAACATTTAGCGTTTTAATGACGTGATTAGAGCTTTACTGCAGTTATTCCTACCACTAAGTCAAAAGCCATTAAAGAGACATGCTAAATGGTTAGCTGTTTGACGATTATGTTGTTTCAGATGTGATTATTGTTATTGTAAAGTGTAAAACATTTGATTTAACGACTTAGTGCTGCTTCGTGAGTCGATGAGACATGACATACCAATGCCAAGCACTCATGCTCAGTAATGCATCAAACCCTGAAATAGCTTATGCTCTGAGTGGCCTTCATTGTTCGTGAGAGATTGTTCTTTAACGCCAAGGTCGTGGGTTCGATCCCCGTAGAGCGCAGAGTGTGTGTAAACAGCTGTGTGTCCTTGAGCAACACACACAGCATGCTCAGTCATTGTGAGTGGCTCTGGAGTGCCGGCTTAACACCCTAAAATATAAATGTAATTGTAACCCAGCAAGGGAACTCCCTCTGCGAGTGCTGACACACACACACACACACACACACACACACACACACACACACACACACACACACACACACACACACACACACACACACACACACACACACACACACACACAGACACACGCACAGACACACACACAGACACACACACACACCCACCCACCCCCACCCCCCAGCCCCTATACTCCCTATTATCTGTATGAAGTGAGGATTATTGGGCTCTCAGGGTTCAAACATAATGCAAGTTATTTCTGGATAGTGTACATAATGAGTCTGGCCTTGAGTACGCATGATCTGTTTAATAATTACTAACACTTGAAAGAGAATATCATGTATGTTTGATAAGGAAACAATCAGTCAGTCGATCGGTCTTGATTAATGTAACAGCGTTTCATAACAGTTAGTTAAAGTAGCCTCACCATTAAAGGACATACAGAGAGATTTAGATGATATTAGCTGAGAGGGCAATTCCATTCTAGTTTTGGGGGGTTTTAAATATACCCCTAGGTCATCTGTCCATTTTGATTAATGAGAGCATGTCAGAGAAAATGTTACTTTCATTTCCTTTTTTATTTGTGCTCATGCCAGCCACTTTCTAACAAAGCATGATGTCATTTTCACTATTAATATTGACTCAAATATCCATCCTGCCTATATAATGTAAGGGTGACATAGAAGTGGTTGAGGGATAGTCCAATACAAATGTGGAT